TTTATTTAATTTATTTAAAACCAGGAAAACAATTGTCTTGAAATTTACTAAATGTTTCACAATAAAGCTGTTTACATTTTTTCCGTAGGATAAGTCTCCGCGTGTACACGCGGTGTGCATCAGCAGGTTAAGCGCTGTTGTCACGTTGTGATGAAACTCCCCAATATTAATACTCGCTGTAGTTTGAAAACTGTGAAACTTACTTAGAGTTTGACACTTCGTTGTGTAAATAAGGCGTAGAGATGTGAAGGAGGACTGTATTATGGCTCAATGGTTCATTTCGTTTGTTAGTGTATTCCAGGCACTGATACGGGTCTCTACATCAAAAGAAATTTTAAAATAACGCACCGTTCTGGCTATCCGCCTATGAAATTAATACACTTTTTTAAACGATTTTGTTGGGCTGGTGAGAAAAAGATTAAAAGTCAAATGCGTGGCAGAAATTGATTGTTATAGCTGCCATACTGGGTATTTTTATGTAACCTAATTTGTACGTTCAATGTGTGTAATATTTCGATGTATGTGATTGATTGATAATGAACAATTTCAACTATTTTGGCAGAAATATGTGCCTGTAGCCATGAACGAAATAGATACGAAATAGAAAATAGATATGAAAACTTATAAAATAGGATATGCTTTTAGTCTTGATAAAGCAAAACATATTGCACTCTTCACTGATAAACGCGTTGTTTGAAAGAGTGTGTTTTAATAATGCAGATAAAGTATATTCATAGATTTAAGAGCTGCTGCCTTAAAACAAGCAGAGTCGAAACAGTTCCATACTGTATCATATTTCACAAGTGAATTTCTGTTTAGCTAGGTGTTGAGCTGACGATTTGAATTGACACAATGAATTTTTGAATTGTCATATTAGTCAATGTATCATGTCCATAATTAAAAAAAAAAAACGTGTAAAGTTTATTTTAAAGATAATTATAACGATAAGTACACAATTAGTAAATTAAATTAGTAATTATTATACATTAATAAAATAATCATTTTTAATAGCAGTAACATATTAAAAGTTTATTCATTTAATTCAATTTTAATTCAGTTCATGTGTAAGTATAATTTAGTTAGTATTAGTAATAAATCTCTCTCTAGTATTCATAATATGAATGTTTAACAAATTTAACACAATATTTTTAGATATTTACAGATTCTCTGTTCATTTCGGTAAGAATAAGTAAACCATATTTTTTAATCTTTTAGAGTAGTGGGTCTATTTACGATAAGTTTTCAATGACGTTAAGGTGCTGTGTTGCCAGGTTGTAACATTTTTCAGGATATATAAGAAAATTAATTTCTGATGGTGAATCCAGTTTATTAAAATTGTTGCCTAGAACTACAGATTATGAAGACCTAAATTAATATGGATGTTATATACGAAAATTATCAAAGAGTATTAGATATCAAGTAATATGACACCATAGATAACACCTTCCTCGAAACAAAGCATTCTCATGTAAAGCGCAAGAACAGCAGTAGATTCTAAGAATGCTTGTACTTGCGTTAATATAACGAAACTTATAAATATGACTAAAAAACTTAGTTCAGTTCACAGTAAAATTCAGTTGTTTTAAGTCTTTAACGCTGTAGGTAACTCATTTTTAATGTTACACACTTTTTCAAGTGAAAGTTGTAATCATAATTTTAAATGAAAAATATTTTTTTTTAAGTGAAAAACGATCTGAGTGATCTAAAATGGATTAGAATTATACACTATCCAAATCCATGCCATCCAAATGAGAACACAAAAAGCTCAATAGCATCTCTCGATATCGTTCTCCATTGACAGTCACGGCGTAAAATCCGCCACACTGTCCACTCTTTGAGTATACAGTGGTCATTCTTGAATTATCCGAGGATTGTCTGTCCCAAATTGGAAAATGCGCCTCGTCGCTAAAGATGATTTTCTCTGCAAAACCACCGTGCATTTGATTCTCCAACATCCAATCAACGACTGTCCGCTACATTAAATGGTCGTCTGCTTCCAATTCCTGGGTTAACTGAATCTTGAATGGATGCAGATCTTTTATTAACATCCGCTATTGTTTCGGAGCATTCCTTCTACCGAAAATTACACGTAATTTGCGCACAGCCTCACCTACACACTCTGCATACTTGTAATGAATTTTTACAATCTTCACTCGCTCATCCATCGTATGGCGCTCCATTTTGTCTAACCGCAACGTGTTGACTACTATATGAGACCCCGCACAATGCTGCCAACTCTTCGGAATGAAAGTGGCGCACAATTCAAATTCTGCGTTAAATTTGGGACACATAAGTAACTTCCCTTTGATGTAATGAATGTACTTTACATGCTAAGACGGCAAAATAAAACGACAGTAAATTTATTGTAATATATTTTACACAGTAAAATTATTATTTTTTATTTCTCAAGGGCTCCGCTACTTACGACTTAACAATGCCGTTCAAGTTAGCATTCGTAGGAGGAAAGTCGCGAGAGGGATTTTCCTTAGATACGTGGCATATAGAGGGAAACTGGGACGGGGCGGAGATATCAAACACCACCTGTATTTCTGAATTCACAAAGCGCGTTTCAGAGTTGTTCTATATGTATGAGAACTGCATTGTTGCGCCTATCAAGCTTATCTCGAACCGTCGCCGTCGCCGACACATCTCCGCAATAAGCAGCCGGAAGTGGCAGCCGACAGTTTATTTGAATATTACCCTGTGACACGTCAATGCCAATAGTTCGGCGTATTTCGATAGGCCTTGACTCCAGAAAAACAGATGTAACTTTCTGTGCCGAACTGTCATATAGACGGAAAAGTGCTTATTAGCAGTGACTATAACAAGAATTGTTATAGTCACTGTTATTAGCTATGTCCTGTTCAAATTTGGTTAGTGCAACTCTCTCGGTTTCGAAAATACAATATCTATGTATGTTTCAGCCACAAAAATTGAATAATTCCAAATATTTCGAATATTCACCACCAAGAACGGCGGTGACAACATTTTTAAGATTAAGGCGATGTTTCGCACTCTATTAGTTATGCCCTGTTCAAATTTGGTTAGTGCAACTCTATCGGTTTCGAAAATACAATATCTATGTATGTTTCAGCCACAAAAATTGAATAATTCCAAATTTTTCGAATATTCACCACCAAGAACGGCGGTGACAACATTTTTAACATTAAGGCGATGTTTCGCATCGTATTAGCTACTATGTCCTATACAAATTTAGTTTCGTACAACTCTCTCGGTTTCGAGAATTCAATACCTATGTATGTTTTCAG